TAAAAGTTAAGGTGCTACTTTAAGTTATGTGATGCATGATTATTAAAGATTTTTTTTTATAATCTTTATTTTATTTATTAAAACTTTTTCTTCTGCCTCTATTCTATCCTCCATAAAAGCTCTGCTTCTTAGGTGTTGTGCTGCATTCTTGGACTTTTATAACAGGAACTACCTCACTGTAGTGAGGTAGTTCCTGTTCCTTATAGTCCCTTGCCATTCTCCACTAGAGGGCAAGGGACTATAAGGATTGAACACGCAAGCTTTGAATGAAAGTACAAACTTTTAATATGGGCTAATTTTAGCTGTATGTGGTAGAGAACGTTCCTGGAGACACAACTGTGTCAACTAAAGTTTTTTATGGTAATAACATTTTTGCCTAGAAATTCAGCTCTGATCTCATTTTAAGTATAACCTTTATTACTTGGCTGCTTTAAAACATACAATGTCTATTTCTCTTTAATAATGCTGCTTAAAAATACATTATTTGTTGCCTGTTTGATGTTGTTGGTGATTAAATTTTCTTTTCACTTCCTGCTCTAAGCCAGCTACTCTCTGGTTTCCTTTATTGGTGCTTGTTCCATATTGACGGCTTCCTGTCTTTGCCTTTGCAGGCAGTCTGTTGGAGACTCCATATCCTTTCAGCCCTGGGACCAGTCCAGAACCTACATCTCCCGTCATTCCACTCATTAGTCCAGACTCCTTTGAACTGCATCAAAGCTGTACTGAAGTCATTTCTAGTACCACCAAGTCTGGGTTGGTCCACTGCAGAACAGAGGCTACAGCAGTAGGCTTATCTTCAAACATTATGACCTCAGGCATACAGCCTGACAGCTCTTCTATTGGCAACACAACAGCCTCTGATACAATATTAAAGGACTCTTGTTCAGAACAACTTACCTCTCCTGAGGAGCCTGTCTCCAGCTGTGGGCCTACAGGACCTTTGTGCTTAGGTGGGCTTGACACTTCTATGGACTCTGGCCCTCAGATTGTATCAGCAGAAACCTCAGCCGTCACTACAGGGAGTAAAAGCACGGCTACAGAGTTCACTTCAAGCTTATTATCTGATTCCTCACATCAGAACGAGTTTATCTCCACCACAGTCCCTGATTCCTCTTTAGTCTCAACCTGCTCAACAGGATCTATTTTAGGCCCAACTTTCCTGGAGTCTCTAGAGGAGCTGGCAGAAAGAAATGATGGCCGCCTTCCACATTACCTTCACCAGGTAATCTGTCTTCTCCTGGATATATTTTAAACCCCCTAAACTGTCAGTTCCCCTTTAATCACACCTTCCCATGATTCCATGCTTTCCTTCTGACATTCTCATCTATTCAGCCATTTTCTTTTTTTTAAAGAGCTTTTGCTTATTTTGAGCTCTTAAACACTGCTGCATTTTTTACCCTCAGGCAGGGGTGTTCACTTATTTTCTGCTGCTTCATGATCAGAAGCCAAATGCACACATTAAAAATCCCATGCCATGTTTGCCCTCAGGTTCTCCATGCTAGTTTCACTCTCACTCACAAGCCTGCGTGACTGAACTCGTACGTTCTGAGGCGTGTTAATGTCAGTTTGACAACGCACTTCAGCAGGCGCACCTGTTCTTCTAATGGGAACCTGCTGTGTCTGAGCAGTAGCACAAAAAACTGCAGGCAGGAAGGGAACAGACAGCCATTTTGGGTTGAACTTGTCAGCCAAATCTTGGCTTTGGCAATTTTGGGCGACCAGGAATAAAAAATAAGCCGTTATTGATGCCTTTGGTTTCTTCATAGCTTTTTAAAGATGGTTATAGAATTACTACAATTGTGATAGTATGTAAATAATACTCAAGTTTTTCTTCTGTTTTTCAAATCAAAATCAAATCAAAGTTTATTTATATAGCACTTTACAAAAAACACCAGGAAGACCAAAGTGCTTCACAGAAAGATAAAAACATAAAAAACAAACAAACAAAAAAAAACAAAACTAAGCATAAAACAATGTGTCGTAAGTATTAAATGCCAGTTTAAAAAATGAGTCTTTAATCTGGACTTAAAAAGGTGCAGATCAGTGAGAACCTGCAGACCGAGGAGCAGGTTGTTCCACAGTTTAGATGCAGTAAACACAAAGAAAGGATCTCCCCTCTGTTTATACCGGGACCTAGGGACATCCAGAACCATTTGATCAGCAGAACTCTGCTGTTTCTGAATTTAAGGGGTGAAAAAGTGCAGGTTTCACCTTCAAAATTTATGGAAACTTGTTTTCTTTAAGGGCGGCAATCACATTTAAAAAAAAATCTTTCAACACATTTAAAAATCCTAATCAGAATCAGAAATACTTTAATAATCCCAGAGGGAAATTACTTTTGTTACACGCTCCAGTTACAGTTTTATATAAAATATACACACATCCAACTATACAATATCATAAAGATAAAAAAAAGAATAAAAAGAGATAAAATATATACACGTATAGCTCTTCTGTATATATATCTGTACGTATATCTATGCATATGTAAAAACTAAATCCAAATAAAGTGAAAATCCAAGTAAAATGATATTTTACACTAATCTTCCTTAATCAAAGCATTTAACTTTTGTTCAACGTTTTTTTTTTGTAAAATCAGGAAATATTCTTTTTAAATCTAAAGTTATATTTAACAGGTTTAGCACCAGCTCAAATTATATAATAAGAATAAGAGCAAAATGCTCCTGCAGATAGTATTTTGCAGAAAATGTCACAGATTGAGGGGAAAAACACCAAACAGAAGTGAAAACAGTTCCTGGTTCCTGTAGAGTCCCTAGAAAGCCTTGCAGTCGTCACTGCCTTCCCTTCATTGGACATTGGAGAGCCTTATGTTTCCTCCTCCTCCCTCTTTGCTCTCTCACACACACGCTGCTCTTGTTCTGTGATCAGCTGGGCTGAAGCCACGCTTGCTGAAAAGAGGTACAGGGTTTTTACAGGGTATATCACTTTTCTCTAATTATGCATATTTAAAACGCGAGTAAACAACAAGCTGTTGTATCATGTCCTTTAAAGTTTTTTCTTTTATTATAGACGCGAACGTTTTACTGTTGCTCTCTTGTCTCATATATCATTTTATTTCCTCTCTCCTGATGATTGTTACCAACTAAGATACTATACCAACTTTGTGACAAACTGATGAGATGAAACCATACCAGCCTTTTAAACTCTGTGTTCTTTGTTTCCCTTCAGATCGCTGAGACCCTTGTCCTTCAGAAAGACTGTATCCTTGCAAGCCTGTAGTTAAATCTCTGTGAATAATGGGTGATTCTTTTTTTTTTTTTTTACTTGATTCTTCTTAGATTCGATGTCAGTATAGCAGATATATAATGTTCAGAGTAATGCTTTTGCTGCAGTCCATGTGAGCTATGGGCTCTAGAAAGCCTAACTCTGTCATGTGCATGTTAACAGATGTGGAATGGCAGCAAAGAACTGTATGTTTAATCAGAGGGAAAGACAGTGGGTGTGATCAGATGAATGCATGAGAGAAAAGTGAAAGCGAGCTTAGCTGCATGAATCTATAGAGAGTAAGTTAGTGAGAGAAAGCATTGAGCTGTGTCAAAGAAGGCTTGTGTTTTGGCTGCTCATATCCATAAACATGAGACTTCAGGCCTCTGCTGTATCTGTTATCTGGAGTCATTGTCAAAGTACAACTTAAAACCTTTAGAGCATCCAATTTCTCCATCTGTAAAGAACCAAATATGGTTAGAGCTATTTAACATGAAATTAAGCTATAGGTCTGTCCATTAATGTTTTATTTGTCGCCTGTGTGAACTGGACTATTTTAAAGATGTGGCATCTGCATGGAGATCTACTTGGACTCCTTCATTGCTGCTTTGATTTTTCATGAAATTACATTGCAGTCGATTGGGATTTAACATCACCTGCAGCAAAGTGTTGAATGAATGCAACATTCATTTCAGCTGCATGTTCCCCTCCGATGTCATTCATGATAGCAATTTGACTGAAGCTCATGAAGAATTCTAGATAAATTGTAATAATTAACTAGAAATAAGACTAAGGCGAATGAGAGTCAACTGTATCATGTTGGTGTCAGTAAATTATCCTGCATTAAACCTCTTTTTTCTAAACGTTGCAAGGTTATTAGCTAAATTAAAGCACTTTTTAACAAACAAAAGGTGAAATAATGAGTTAAGCCTAAGGTAATTCTGAATCACAAGGTGGATTATTACAAGTAAAATATATAAATTAGATTTATTTTTACGTCTGAACGTGGTGGATTAGCCAGTTTGTTCAGTTTTGCCTTATGTTCTGCATATATGTTCATATCTTAACTACTGCTTATCAGACCAGAGAGCTTTACTGTTTCTCCAGCTAGAGCAGCTTTACCACCAGAGACTGTTGGAAAACCTGAATGCACTTCAGCAGCAGTGGGGTAATGTGCAGCATGCTTCCCTTAGATGTACACAAACCTATGATAAGTTTTGAAAATACTTTAACATGTTTTTACTAGTGTGTAGGCAACATTTCATGTTCACTCCTTGAATTGATTATGCAGCATCAGACTTTATTAAACTCTTCTCTTCATAGTGAGTCAGTGTGGAGGAACATCCCCTGGGCTGGCAGCCTCCCAGCTGGACTCACTGAAGCACTTCTGCCAGACGCATACCAGGTAAACCTGCAGGTTTTTATGGATTTAGAGGAACTGAGATCAGGAGTGTAGAAAATGTGGCCAGGGACTGTTTACTGCAGTTTGAGTTTTCAATTCCGACTTCTGATCACGTTTAGAAATTGCATAAGTTGACCTGCCACATTTTAATTTTTTATATTTTCCATTTGTTTAAGGTAAAATATTGTTTTGGGCACCGTTTTTGTCTTTTGTAACCACTGTATTTTTGGGCTCTTGTTTAATTTGTGCAGAAAATATGAGCATAAACAGCAAATTTATGCGGAAACAAATTTTTCTAAGCACCTTGCTTCAAGACTCGTCCCATTTGCAGCCCCAGTGTTGCACTCCTTCACGGGGGGTTAAAATAACTCACTCGCTTTAATGCTGACCCCAAAACACTCTTAGCAATGACAAAAAAAGACATAAATTGTTATATTTAGTCACATGAAAACATCTTTTTCTGTTTTTAGTTGCTTTGGTAGATTTCTCTAGCCCTTAAACCTGCCATAAAAATTTGTTTTTGAGAAATATGTTGGATTGGCGTCTAACCCTGGTTCTGAACAGTTCAGGTTTTGATGTTTATATTGAGGAAGTGTTGATGAAACAGATGGAGTTTGTTGTAAATTACAACATGGAATGAAAGTAGTGAAAGCCCCTCTATAACACACACAGCTATGCCTTGTGTAAACTCTGTGTAATGATGTGCCTGCTTGTGTGTATGAGACGCTGACGACATAAATCCTGGAATGTGATGAGCAATAAAGTGATGGGTAAGCCATATGGCCCTTGGTCAGTGCTACTGCTGCACTTTCAGACATTTGAGCTGCTGCACTGCTTAGGTTTCACACTCAGGCACACACACACACACACACACACACATACATGCGCAGCTATATGCAGTGAGGGCCATGTGTTGACTCTCATTGACTTCCATTGATTTTCAGTCATTTTCAACCCGTTCTATGCCCTAACCCTAAAACCTACCCTAAACCTAACCATTACCAATGCATACCTCACCCTAACCCTAACCCAATTGACACCTTAGTCCTAAACCTAACCATTAGCAAAATAGCTTGTGAGGATGTGCAAAATGACCTCACTTTGCAACAATTAATCCTCAATCTGATGGTGAAATTGGAAAATGGTCCTCACTGTGAGGGCTAGACAGGTGCACACACACACACACACCGGCAGAATCCTGTTTCCTTGACTTGAATTCATTTACTGGAGATTTGAACCACCACTATTGCTAATATAATCTATTTCTAACCTTAAAGTGATTTTTTTTTTTTTTTATTTGATAATTTGAATGATTTAAATTGGCTTTCTTTCCCCACAAAATAACTCTCAGCCCCTGACCTCCCCTCAGAGCTTGGGAACAGACGCCCACACAGCCCACATGCTCACACACAGGTTTTATTAGCCAGGGAAATGTGTTCAGGCTAATATTAGATGAGGAGAGCAGAGGAGGGTCACACATCTTCTGCTTCTTCTTTCACTAAAACCAAGACTTGACCTTCTGCACGCTCAACCCACTAATCCTGTCTCTCATCTCTTTATAGACCAAGGACACGAGATGCTGAGGTAAGACATTTGCAGTTTGTATCATATGTGTCTGTTTATGTAAAAATATGTGTCTTTGGCTTACTGGCTACTAATTTCTTATTATTTAGAGTCAATTTTATTGTAATAAATTGTAATAAATGACTAAATCAAATCTAAACCGATGTGTTCAATGTGATTCAGGTTACTCTTCAGGACAACCTGAGACTAAAGTTTGACGGAGGTGTTTCACAGCTCTCATGTATCTCATGTAAGTGACGGCAGACATACCGAGAATCGTCTCATTTATGTTTTTGTTTTACGCATTTCATGCAAATGTGTTGTTTGGTTCTAAATTTTTAAATGAAACCACTCATAATTGTTCCATTTTCTGTCACACATGTTGCTGCAAACATCGTTACAGTTGAGCATGAATATTCACACCGCGCAAATTTAGTCAGATTTTTTAAAACCCTAACATCCTTTATTGAGATTTAATGTGAACACGGAGCAGTTCATTTCTGAGAGAATATCAGGTTGTTTAGCAGTCATTGACTAATACATCTGAAAAGGTCTGTGTTTAGATTTATTCAAACACTAGGTGGAAATAGCTTCAACTACAGCTAGAAGTGCACTGACATTTCTTCCACGACACTGAGCTTGAGCCTCCTGCTCAAGCTCAGCGTCGTGACCAATAATGTTTCAAGTCACAGTTTCTCAGACTGATCTGGTTAATACTTAGATCGAAATCAACTATCAACTGAAACCACTTACCTCCACCACAGTTTCAAGTCAACACTTTGAACAAGTTTTCTGCAAGGCTGAAGAAGAAAAGCATCCCCATGACACTGCCACCAACACTTATGGTGTGATCAGTGTGATGCCTCTCTACCTCACACTGGGCCTGATCTTTAAAGAATTCAAATGAGAGGCACTAAAGTGTGTAGCGAAACAAGAGTGCGCATGTTTTTGATGATCTACAAATGTGTTGTGCATAAATGATAATATTTTCACACCGGTTTTGTGTGCTTTATTAAAATGAGCATATTACACGTCGCAGCTTGAGAGTGACTAGAAGAACGACGAAGGTTTATATAAAATAACGTACATAAGTATCTTAAAATGCTACAAACAAAGGTAAAAAAAAATTAAAATAACTTAAGTTATATCTAAATAAAACTTGGAATAGCTCCTTCTGATGAGAGAAGAAACCAGTCAGATTTACAGCAGGTTATGATTCTAAACAGCTGGATTTACATTCTCCAACTCCTCACAGCACCTGCTTGAGCCAAAATATTGCAAAAGAAGGTGGGCCATAATATTTGAATTAACCATATCTTCATCTCATGGAACTTGTTAAAGAACTGAGAAAAGTTCTTTTTCTTAGTTTTTTTACCGTATTTACATTCAGTCATGGTGTCAGTCATGGTGTTGACTGCATAAAGAATGACTACATTCCCTATGCATGAATTTGTGCCAACTTTCCCCCCCGCTTACAATATTCTGCTTCTTTTACTTTGATAATTCAAATACGTTTACTTGTGCACAGTCTCGCTCTCCATCGTCTGTCATTGTATCAATGCCTCCTCTAAGGCAACAAGACAGGCTACTGCAGTAGTCCTTATCTGGAATTATATAATTTTTTTTAAGTCTTGCCCAAGTATTATGTAACAGACTAGAAAATAACAGAAGCTAATACAAACTAAACTGTACTGACGCATTTTCAAAAATAAAAACACTAAAAACGAATTAAAACTAAAATAGAATTGAAAATGAGAAGTCAAATCCAAATGAACATAAAAACCAATGAATGTGTTTATGAATGTTAAAACTATAAACCTTGCAGACAGGTGTGCCATCTAGAGCTGGAATCCTGTAATTAGCTGAAGGCCCACACATTTAAAACCAGGCTTAGAGACAACGATCATGACAGCTAAGGGGCGTAGAGTTCACTGGATTTTATCCGAGGGGGAAAGAATAGAAGGACTGAATGCAATGTTTTTTGTTTGTTATTTTCTTTCCGGTATATCTGTCATATAAAATCTCAATATTTTTTGGGGGAACTTTGTTGTTGTCAATGACATGAATAATTTGCATGAGGCTGAAACTAATAGAATTTCAATTATAAGCCACTGAAGTTACTGAAAAAATAAAACCGTGAAAAATACATGGAAGGTTGTGTCCATGTTTTTAATCGATATTTCTGTAATTTTTTTCCTAGAAGTTTTAGGTAACAGACAATCAGACGTTCATATGTACACATTACATGTGTAATGTGATCATATGTGCACAAGTTCTGTTGAATTATAAGCTACAGTGTTGGCATGTTTAAAATCTACATTAATGGAGCACATTCATATCAGGATGATATTAACAGTGTTCTCCGCTCCTTGTATACTTGTATTGAAGCAATTGGGGATGAGTGGATCAATGTCTTTCCTGCTCTTTCATGCAGCCCTTCAGGTTAAAGGAGAGATGGAGGAGAGAGCTGAGGACTCCTCTTCTCCAACCGCAACCTCTGCTTGTTTGCTTACAAGGCTCAGTCCGCCTGAAACAGACGGGGAAGACCTGAATGGAAAATCAGAGGGGAGGGACACTTTTTATGGCTCCGATCTGACTCGATTGCAAGCTCACAGCAGAGAGGTGGAAGGAGGGGAAGAAGACACCATTTCCACCGGGGGAAATGGGCTGCACCCCTCCACAGCTGGGGGAATGGATCGCTCCGATCCTGCAAAGCAGCAGGAGGAAGATTTAGGACTGTCAGGGGAAGGAGAGAGAAAGGTGGAGGAAGAGGACAAGAGCGAAGTAGAGGAGGCAGCAGAGGCTCTGGAGATGGAAGATGAGGGGACTGAGGATGATGGAGAGGACAAGCAGAGCAAAGGAGACTCTCATTTATGGGAAGGAGCTCCCTCTGTGGAGACTCTGGTCAGTGGGGCAGAGTGGGAGCTGCACAGGGATACTTCTGCTAAGGAGAAGCTACATGTACAGCAGCAGACTCAGGTACATCTTTCTTTTATGAAACAAATTTAAATGAAGGCACATAAAGATTTACTGTGAAGCTAGTCTGTGTATTCCTCTTTTTATTGGGACTGATATTCTGCGAACCAAGCTGACATCGGTTAATGTTGCCTGTGAGGGACGGCTGCTTACATGTTTCCCAGAAACATGAGATGGGTCACTTTCTTGTTTTCTAACTGAACGGCTCTTACTGACCTAGAGAAGATCACTGCAGAGCAGATCAACAACGCTGAGTTAAGAGAAGCAGAGTGAACATATCTAAACGAATAGTGCAAAAAAATGTTCTTTATGAATACAGGAGGACTCTGGAACCTACCTGAAGGAGCAGGAGGCACTCCCTTCCAAGGAGGCTGACATGGAGCGGCAACAACGATATGCAGAGGAGAGCGAGGAAGAAGAGGAGTACGATGGTGACTTTCTCAGGAGAACCCCTTCTTTGGACGACAAGGCAAAGCTCATCACCGTGGAAGAGGTTTGTTTGCATTTGTTTTTCTTTCACAGCATCCTATGATTCTTTTAAAACACAGCAGAGCATGTTTGAAATGTTTACAAAATTAGCAGTTTATTGGATGATATCTGCCAGGATCCATCTTTCAAGCTGTAAAAAGAGACCCTTATGCTTTAAGCCAGCCATAACATTCCCTTTCCCTTACCATGACTCCTACGCTAAATTTTATTTCCCATGAAAAAATATGATATGCAAATTTAACTTAATTTTTTTTTATTTAAGCTGACCATTTTCAAGAATCAGAACCAACATGTATCTGATTAAAACAAGTTTAGCTTTTGTTAGCTCTTGTTTTGATTCATAACAGACAGTTGGTCCTGTGTGGAAATTATTGTTTATTTGTTATTATTATTAAACTATTATTATTATTAGTTTTAAAATAGTAATTTAGAAAAGCTTTTTTTTTTTGTTTGACTTTCTATTTAACAGGTGCTTCATACTGTGCCCAATAAGTGGGTTAAAAAGGATTTAAACTGCTGACTTATGTTGTTATTATTACATAATATAAGCTGTGCTTAGACTCACTCTGATGCTCTTTGCTGAAATGGCCCCAAAGTTCATCTGCCATCAGAGTTTGCTCTCTTGTGAACGAGGAGTTCCTTGATCCAGTTGACATAAGTTTATTCAAGGGGAATCAGTGCCTGGTTGATAAAAAGGTCCACAGTTCAGAGTCTGTGTTCACAAAGAATCTAAACTAGCTGTTCATGTCGTCCTTTAAGAAAAAAAACATAAGATTTCTTGAATTTGAAAATTTTACTTTGGCTTTTACCTAAATAAAATAAAAACTTTTCACAAACCCTTAACAAAGCTCCTAAAAAGACAGATAAGTTTGTAGTATTGAGGAAGAGTTTTAGCAAAGCTGAGTGTGGAACTGCGATCCACAACCTAAACAGCACTAATGCAGTGCAAAAGCAGTAATATTATGAATTACACCTATAGCTAAAACGTGCACATCATTTGGATTATTACCAAATTTTATGAATCTTTCCTTGGCATAATGCGCATCTTTGGTTATTTCCCTAAAATAAATGTATAAGTTCAATAATGTTCTGCTCTCACCTTCCTCATTCACTCTGCTTTCTTCTTTGATCAGCAGATACTTCCAGCGAGCCATGGCTCCCCTTTCTTGTGTTTTGTATTTTTGTCTTCAGTATAATACGTCGGTATAATACTGCTTGTTCCACTAAATATCCACATCTCATGATGTTAAAGAATCCTTGAAAAATTCCTGTGTCCGGATCATGGTGTGGATCCTGAGGAAAACTGAATGGAGTGTTACTTGGCATGAGGCACCCCTCTGGTACAAATTCTTTAAAATCCATTAAATTAAAATAATATTCTGGCAATTTTTGTGCATCAATAGGTCCCAACACATGAAAGTTATTCATGTCTATTTATCAAGAGTATGTATTAGGGGAGTGACCTAGTGGTCAAGAAAAGAGAAGTTGTATAAATACGCCAGAAGACGTTACATTGAGAAGCATGGACTGGAACTGGAACAAGGCCACTGAACACGTTTGATCAAAACGATCAGAGAGGAGAGTTTCCAACCTGTCCTGTTGTCTGTTCTGAAAGGTTCTGACTTCGAGCCCCACTCCCACAGACTGCCACTCTGGGTCTCTGAGCAAAGACCCTCAACTTCGAATTGCTCCCCGGGCGCCCTATGATGGCAGCCCACTGCTCCCATCAGTTCAGTCATTATTATTATTATTAGCAGGAACCGGTCCAGCTCAGGGCTGCTAGCCTCCTCCACAGAACCTTCCCCTCTTCTCTCCATTTCCTCCGCCTCTGATGAAGATGGTGGAGTTAAATCCGCCTCAATAGACCAAAAGCTTTTCTCTCAGATTGAACAGCATCCTGTAAAAACATTAAACACATACGAGGGGCGTTCAAAAGGTAATGCCCCTGACCCACTTCCAGATGTTTGATCGTCCTGAAATTTTGCATGTGAAATTATTAAAATCTCTATAGATTAAATAGCAAATTACAGCTCTGAACTAATTGTGGTTTCTGATTTACAGATGTTCAAACTGAGTCAAGTCTGTGTTTTGGCATTTGAAAGGACGCACACAACGGGAGACTTTTGATCAAATGAAAGTAACTTTGAGTGATAATGTCCCATAATAAACCTTGTGAAACATTTTGCAAGGTCATATAATTGGCATCATCAACATTAGTTATTTCCCTTTCATCAAAAGTCTTCCGTAGTGTGAGTCCTTTCACATAGAAAAAAACGGATCACTGCTCGACACTCAACAGGCTCCATTTCAGACTTTACTCAGTTCAAACACCTGTAAGTCAGAAACCGCAAATAGTTCAGAGCTGTAATTTGCTACTTAATCTATACAGATTTAAATAACCTTACATGCAAGCTTTCAACTGGATCAAACATCTGGAAGTGTGTCAGGGGCATTACTTATTGAACGCCCCTCGTATGTCAGAGTGTTTAACAAATCACTGGGATAACAGTGGAAAAGTGTACAAGTAATATATAGAACAGAGGAATTTCAATATTATTTATCGACTCTCAAATGCTCTCAATAATAAACAAGCAAAACAACTCAAAAGAAATAAATCTGCTCTACAGAAAGATGTAAAAGAGGCAAGGAATTATTTGCTGTATTGTACATTTCCCTAAATGGTCATCTAGAAATTCCTGCCGGTGATGCCGTCTCTTCTCTGGCTTTTGATTGCAGTGTTTCTCATTTCCCTGGCTGGTGAATAAAAGTTGCTATAAGTTGCTTTTAGAGTCTGCCTCTTTGCAGTTAGACTCCTATTTTCTTTTTCTTTTGTTAATGTCAGTTAAAATCTGCTGTCTAACACACCTGGCTTTTCTCTGTTGTGTGTCTCAGGTCTCCCCAGCCTCCGGACTTGTCTCAATCTTAAAAAAGCGAAGCGTATATGTGGACAGCCTGGTAGAGTCTGCAGGTCCAGAGCCCGGACCTGAGAAACCCACCGCCAAAAGACGAGTCCGCTTCACAGTTCCTGATGATAGCTATGACCAGGGTACATAACAGGGTTACATTTACCTTAAATTAAACTCATAACAGTTTATTGGTTAATACAGGAACGCAGCATAGTGCATCGTTGTGATGGAGTTAATTAGACTTCAGTTTATTAATCTCTGATGTTAAAGGTATAGTGGAGGTTTTTTGCAAATCTTTGAAAAGATCCAACCTATTCACTGAAAAAAATGCACATGCTCTCCCTGTACCTGTTCCGAGAGAAAACACCTATTAAACATGTGTAAGAGCATGCACAAGCCTATTTCTCCTCCTGCACGCTCTGTTTAAACGTTGCTGTTTGCATCGCTCATACAAGCTTACTTTCCAAAAGAAGATTTGCAATATTTCCACTATGTCAGACGAAAATGGGGACGAGCACGTGGGACACCTTACGTAAACATATCACCACAATGATTGACATTTAAGAGGACAACTTATTTTGATGATCCACCTGGAAAAAGAACATCCTCCATTATACCTTTAAAGTTTGCATAGTGTCTTTAAACATAAGCATGCCACAAAGATTTTTTGAAAATATACCTCCTCATCTTCTTCCTTACAGTCTGTGATTATAGACCACTAGTTTGTGTTTTTTATGACATAAACCCACGAAACAGACTCTAAAGTTTGATGTTTTAACCTTGCAAAAATATGAAAGATTTTGAGGGGAATTAAAGCTTTTGCAGGGAAGAGGGAGAACAGTTTTACACAAATCCTTGGACATTGTAAACAACTTAGTCAGTGGAGATAATAAAAAAGAAGCCAAGATTAATTTCTTAGTGTAGACTGAGTTTTAGCTACATGTGATTTTATTCTCGTTTTGTTTGTTTTTCTCTACAGAGGTTGGTGGTGGAGACTCCTGCCTGCTCCTCTTCCTCCTTTGCCTGGTTACTGTAGTCATCAGTATCGGTGGAACTGCCCTGTATTGTGCTCTGGGTGATGCCCAGTCCTCGGTCTGTCAGGACTTCTCCAGAAATATAGACTTCTACATCCTCCAGATGCGTCGTGGGTTAGCTCAGCTGCAGCACTGGTATACCTCTGGGTTGTAGCAGAAGACGTGGAGCCTCTGCCATGTCGATTCCTGCTACTTCCCAGGACAAAGAGTGTTGAGGTAAAGGCTCCTCATGGGCACTAAAGAGCTTACTGCCATTTGTTGAATGGCTGAACGTCTGCTTTGGAGGCATTGGCGTTTTTTTCAAGCCTGCAATATTAATGCTCTGTGAATACAATTCCAGTGCACTTTTAAAAGCATAGTTCAACGTCTGTTTACAGGGAAAATTGCAAAACAAAAACTTCAAGATGTAACTTGTGATGTCTTAATTTTTTTTTACGACAGAATATCTGTTGGCTGCAAAATGTCTGTTTTTACAGAAGGAAAAAAAGTCTTTGTGCACAACTTGGAGAAGCAAATACTGTACCTTCAAATGTGTCGGATAAAACATTGTCTTTACATGCAAACTACAGCTAAAGATGAAAATTGTACATCAGTGTCTAGTTCAGTGTCTGTTCACATGTGGGATAAAAATTCACTAAGGTTTTTATAATTGGTGCAACAGCAGCTGTTGCTTTTATGTAGATTTTTAAATAACAGGAACTGTACCCTGATAGACTAACTCTGCATCTATCTGCTACTTTGAATGAAATCACAAAGTCCTAAGTGTATCTTAAAATTTTAAGCAAATGTTTTGAGCTTAATCATAAACCTTGAAACATCTTTAAAATGAAAATTTGTAATTGTGAAAATATTTTATAATTTATTATCAGTGCACTGCTAATGGTGTAAAATCATGTCCTATTTGTTAGTTAAAAAAAAACACAAAAATGCTTATTTTAACTTCTGTATAGCATTTCCAAAGAGCATTTGCTTAAGGCTCCCCATAAATTACAGGACCTCTGTTAACTCTTTATGGGTTTCGTGTAGCATATTTAAAATGTAGAGAGAATTGTGCACATCTGTAAATGCTGTTAATCGATTATCACGTTGCAAATATTACCGGTACTTTTTAAAATAATATTTTTAAAGATTTTGCAATATTTCTATAGACCCTTTTTTTTCTGTTGGGCCTGAACGTGGCCTTGAAAAAGGTTCATCAGATACAAACTGTTCACATGGTCCAAACGTTTGCACATACCACTTCCACAGAGAACTGAGGATCTGCTAAAGTATTTGTGTCAAATATGAAGCGTTTTTATTCATGACAAATTAAAGAATATATTGTTCTCATCATTTTCTTGGTGTAGATAATCGATCCAGGACCACATGAAGCTCTATCTGCCTGTGTATGTTGATTCTTTCAGGGAATTCTGGGAAATAATCAGCTAAGACAGCTAGTCTGTTCTGGTAGATTTTCCCAAAAATATTTTACAAGTGAGAATATCTTGCCCTCCCTTGGTCTTCCGTATACGGTATGTCATCAGCATAACAGATTTGTTTTTAAATCACTTTATTTATTGTTTGTAAATCTCATTTTTGTCTCATTGAGTTAATTATATATACTCAATCCTTTTTTAACTCATTCTAAGATTGAAATGTGTTGTTGTCACAATGTACAAAGCTACCTTTGAAGTTGTGGAGGATGGAGTAACAAACACCAATGAGAATCTTCAAATCTCAGACAAAATTCTTTGGCGGAGGGATTAAAGAGGACAAATGTCTGTAAAAGAGGGCATACATGAATGTTCCTCCTCAGTAAATCTTCACTAAAAGGGCTTATATCATTTTTTTTTTCAGGCTTACACTTGTCAAGATAGTTACATTCATTTCCATGGCCAAAATTAAGCTTGCCAAACACTGCTGAAAGTTGCCTAATTAGTAATAGTGTTGATTTTCTATTAAATCTAGGAAAGATCACAATATTTATAGTAATCCCACAGTCTCTGTATTGAATTTCATGTCACTATGGGAAGATTTATGCAGAGTAAGGTCAATAGAAATAAGAAAGTTATGGGTTGGAGACCTAATAAACCGGCATCACATGAAGAGATTTAGAAGCACTCTGTTCTAACACATTGATAAATTACCACTTGTGACAAGAAAATGTATTTAAATAAGTAAAATACTGACAACTTTCCGATTGGTAATATATGTTTAGATAGTGTAGGGGTTGCAATTTAAATTCAGGCATTTTCCATCCATATTTCAAATAGGTATAAACGTACTAATCAGTAATTAATAATATCAACTGATACAAAATATATGTTTATCAGCCATATTGCATAGGCCTACTTGCAATCAATGAAGACCAAATAAAACAGCTAATTGTTAAACTTTCTCACAAGAGTGCTCACTCCATCCTTCTGTGCTGCCATTAAGAGACTACAGATCCATTGGATATAAATCTTGTCAAAATGCGCTTTAATTGCTAAGACTACATCATCTACATACAGTAGTGCCTTCCTCTCTCCAACTGCCCGACTTTTCTGTCAGAAAATGCTTGTGGAAATAATTTACCTGCTTTGAAAGCAGAAGAACTTTTCTGTTTTCCCAATTAGAATATGTTCAAGTTTTCCGGTTCCCATGTATGATGATATAGGTCCTTTTAGGAAAAAAAACAGCATTATGTCTTTCTCCTGTTGTTTCACACAAATACCTCCTGATTTGTTTGAGATGAGGATTTTCCTGGACTTAAAGAGTTGAGGATGCATTGATAATTTCATTTGCACTTGTCAGCTGGCTGGTTCAGATGGCGATCACAAAAAAACATTTATTTAACTTTTCAGATTATTTGTAATTATTTATGATGCCAGAGATATACTTTTAAGTGGTTTTAAAAAGGCAGATCAATCTTTTACTTTGTGTGTTTTTTTTCCTCCTCAGTTACCTGGTTCAGTTTATTTTATATATTAACTTTGTTCTTGTAAGAACTTTGTTGATCATTCTGGGCCGTTATAATTCTTCTGTCCAGATTTTCTTGTGACTTGTACCCTGTGAGTTTCTGCCAATGCTGTCTTTATCTTTTTTTGCATGAAATTTGTGAAACTATTCAAATGTCTTTGATTACATCTAAGAGTGTTGTACCTGTTTTTACTTCCTTATTAAACTTTTTTCAGGCCAACATCAAAAAGAACCAGATGAATGGTAAATGCTTTTCACGCTTTACTTCTACCCAATCTGATAAAAAAAAAAAGAAAAAGATAATTTTATTAATTCTGACATTTGTTCCTTAGTTGCAAATTATTTTTTTTGTCATACAAATCTTCCTCATCATGTCTCATTAAAATCAGTTTTGTTTCGGAGCCTGTGTTGCATTTTTTTTCTTCAGATGTTTATTGTTTATTTGAAGTGGAAATTGATCGGAATGTAACTGAGTTTATATTAACTTTTTTCACATGTTCATCCAGCAATACGATTTTTTACCTACTACCTTTAAAAAAACAAAAAAATTCCAGTCAGCTTCATTTAAATTTAAAGTGAATATAAAATGGGATATGGGGCGATGTAAAACAACAAAGGAAAGATTTGTACGATATTTTTTTTTTAAGCAGAGCTAGCCAGAGCCCAACAGTTTGTTTTTTATTTTTTTTATCTTAATGACTTATTTCCAATTATGTAATCCCAAAAGCCTGCTTCAGCATAGCTGCAAAACCTGGAAGAAATCTCAGCCACCCAGAATAAGCTGTAAACAATAGATTAAATAACAAAACTTCACTTGTCTGTTTTCAACTTTGGTGTCTTCTAAAATATAAATCATCAAATGACTTGCAAATATTAGATAGACAAAGTGATGTGATGTTTAATTCTAATAAGATTGGTGTTTATCATAATCTACTCAAAGGTATGTTGGTGAAGTATAAAAGAAATAAAGAAAACTCTTTATTGACATACTGCTTGAATATTTTTTTCATTTTAAAATGGTTTTAGGTGTACTTTAGTACATCATAGAGATAAAAATAGATTTGGATTGTTTTAAAGGCATTGTTTATCTGCTTAGTCAACAGATGTGTTTGAGTTTGAGAAAAATTGGAATGTGCAAGAACTGCAGTTATTGCAAACAATTACAAGTGCAAAGTTAGATATCAAAATCACCTTGTTAAGCAAGCTGTTGTTTGTAATTAGTATTTGGTGTAATAAAAGAAAAAAATAGCAGCATAGATTTTGAAACCAATTTTAATCAAAACGTTTGCAAGCAAATGCACTGAGCTCGATTAAAGAACTATATTTGAAGTTTAAGCCATAGCTAACATGCATCAATTAGACATAAAAGACGTCAGTGTAATCAAAGTTATTTAGACTCTGAGAAAATGCGGCAGACTTAAGACTCTCTAACGACGAAGCCAAGGGTTAAAAGAAACGGTTATAAGGATCACCTTCTCCTTCTGACTTTATAAAATCCTAATTACTAAGAGAGCCAAGTGGGTTAAATACGCTGGTCTTGAACAGACAGAAGTATAGAATGGATGACCATGCAACGCCTGTTATTTCATTTATGTTCTAAGGATCAATATATTTATGTATCTCTCATACTTATTTAAAAACTGCCTGGTATATAATTCATTCCTGCTTTTTCAGGTAGACTTATCTTTCCCTGTTTATTCAAATTGTTAGATGTAATTTACGTAACTTTGTATATTTTGTCTATAATTTTATACATAAAAAACAATTGTGAGTGGCGGTAGTAACATTGTACATTCCCTGAAAGTAATTACCACTATATTGAAATGCTCTTACAAGATAAAAAAAAAAAAAAATAGTTATAGGAAACATTTGCTGCAGCCTGTGTTACAGCGTCATTATAACACAAGTATAAACTGGTAGGGGTTTGCTTTTCATACAAACATGTATGTTTTACAAGCAAATACATTTGATGAAATCTTATAGGGTTTCCCTGGTTAAGAGCTACACAGTGCATGTCTTTTTTTACCTTTTAAAAAAAAATTGTTATTTCTTTCCAGAGGCCACTAACATACTTGTTTCTGCCTGTACTGCTCCTGGATTAGTTTTATTTTTGTCTTCTCAAAGTTGCACCAGATGGCACACTTGATGGCCCCTGTCTGTCTCATTCAGTTTCTTCTGTCAAAGGGAGTCCTTCCTCCCCATTATAGAATAAAAATGTATGAAACATTTTTTTTTTTTTTTAATCATATATAAATTGAATTGGTTTCTATTGTAAAGTGCTGTTAGTTGATGTTTTAAAATCTATACTGGGGTTATGAAAAGAGAATTTGGATATATTATTATTATTATTATAATAAACATGTATCTAAAATGGGGCAGTATAATTTATACCTTAGTTCTTAATAGTGTGATGCACTATTTTCAATGTTTTAATTCAAAAACTAAAAGGATTTAGGCGCGTGTGCGTACGGGTCTGCGTACGCGTGACGTAATGACGTCGTGCTACGGATGTAAACACGACCCGGTCCACATGGAAGGAAAACCGGGGATGATGCCAACCGTGGAGCGGTTTGTCAGTCCAGAGAAAGGAAACGGCCTGCGGGCCACAGCCGGGATAAGCAGAGGGCAGCTGGTGAGCTGGGCTGAGCCGCTGGCCTGCTGCGTGTCCAACAAACGAGCCAGAGAGGTTTGCCACCACTGCTTCTCACGGTAAGACGAGTCCAAACTGTCACTATCCTCTACTGCTAAACTAGTCACTTTTTTCTTTAACACTCTTGTTAAGGAAATATTTGTTACTCTTCGTTAACAAACAAATGATCTGTCTACGCATTGTGATTGAAGAGTATAGTTTTTGTTGCAGTGGTTTAAAATGATGTATCTTAATTAACACCTGATTTTAAATTGCGGCTTCCTGTTCGGCATGCTTCAGAGACAGTGCTGCATAAGCCCCATTACTACTGTTTATTCACATTCAGTTGATTATTGGTTACCGACTGGAAACCCTATAGTATTTCTTTAACTGGTCAGCAGATGGCGCCATTGCCCCTTGGTGAAAACTACTGTTTCTAAAGCAGTCAGTCAGACGTGACGTTTGCGTGAATTTTGCAAAGCAATCATCAGTTAAGCTATTACTGATATGTACTGTGGAAGCAAATTGTTACCATATTTTAAATGAA